GAATCTTGTTTCAGTCTTTCCTTATTAATTTCATTTTTAATTTCAATTTTTATAATAATAAAATCAATATTAAACCTAGTTGTATAAATAGTTGGAATATTTAAGTAATTGAACAACCCATGATTCCAAATAATCTAAAATGAATGAACAAACCCAAGATTCCATTTAAATTTTTAATTCGAATAACTTTTAAATTCGAATAAACTTTTTAATATTAATATTAATTTGAATAAACTTTTTAATTTTAATAAACTTTTTAATTCAAATAAAACTTTTTAATTGGAATAAATTTTTTAATTCGAATGAATTTTTTTTTAATTCGAATAAATTTTTTTAATTGGAATAAATTTTTATTCAAATAATTAATTCGAATTAAAGGTCAACTGTATTATGAATAATTCGAATAAGAATTTGTATTATGAATAGAAGCCCTACCTGTTATATGTAAATGATTGAATTAATTGAATCGTGTATTTTTATTATTATAATGCTATGAAACACTTGGTGCAGTGGTATTTTTATTTTTTGACCATCTTGTATAATGTTGTATGATAATAAATGATTTCGTGGTTTGAATGTGCTCACCATCTGTAAACTCAATTGCCTGAAGATGGACAGGGACGTCGTAGAAAGTTGAGTTCTGTGCGCTGAAATGGCCTGAGAGGAATTTCTCTATGAAAATAACGAAAAAAAAATGTGAGGACGGTCATCCTATTTGTATTTTTTTGAATTAATAAAATAGACGATTGTCTTGACCTGAGTGATGTCGTTGTGTGAGTAAAGGACACGAAGCTCGCTGTCACGTTTTCGTTTAAAAACTTGTTTTATTTGCGGAGAATTGAATGATGTGTAACAAACAATTTTTCGTATATACAACATTTTTTATAAGGATGTAAATTGAAAAATGAAAATTGCATTATTTAAAGAACAACTTCATCACAATCAAACTCTAGTGATAGATTTATCAATAAAAGAAATTCAACATTCTCAAAAATATCTGTTTTATGTGGTATGTAAAGGTCATTCTAAGTACCAATATTAATCAACTTATGTTGCTTCAAACTCAGACACTAAAGACAACTCAAGCACATTATTAATATTATTATTACGTGTAGTTCTGTAGTTAACTTCAAAGTCAAAAACATAACTCGTATATATGAAAGACAATTTGATTTTATAATAGTTATATTGATGGATTAAGTTACTTTGCAATAATAAACCTTTAATCTTCCATTTTTATCTTTATCCTTCCTTATTGCAGTGATTATTTCAAAATAAAAAAAATAAAAAAATAGATAAATATAGACAAATAATTATAACAAATAATTTAGGAGATTAAATTAGTCATTCATTGATTCTTTCTTTTAATTGTTAGAATTAAAAAATGTTGTTAGTAATAATTAATGGATAGTAAGTTCCAATTAATTAATTAATAATGAATTTTTGTTCACCTTCAACATTTAAGATGAACTATCATTACTTGTATAAATTTTCAAGCTTTTTGATTTAACAATCTCTTCATCTAATATCCTACTTTTATGATATGCATCTGGGTGTGATTTGTGTACTTGTTGCGAATCACTACCGTCACCACTACTGTTGCTACCATCATTATTAAAATCATGTTTTTTGATTTTAGAAAATTTGAATAATCTTTTTATTAAACTATTGTTACTATTATTATTTTTCAAGCTTTTATTTTCATAAATTTCATTACGTTTATCTCTAGCAAATCGGAGAAGCTCTTCACTAGTTGGTCTTTTTGATGGATCCACATCCCAACACTTCTGCATCATTTGTGCATAATCTTCAGGCATTCTAGGTAATATTGGTGGTCGTAAACCTTCTGCACATA